CCCCCCCCCAAAAAAAAAAAAACTGCAAAGATCCTGTATCGGAGCTCCGACGACCTTTCGGGTTTGATCCTTTTCGACAACGGATTTCCTCTTAAAAATTGTAAGATTTCTACCTTGCAATTGTTTAGTTTGTTGTACCACGGTAGAACTTGGTGAATTTTGTATAGTTCTCTGCTTTTTCCCAATAATTCCACTACTACTGTCAGGGCTACACCAGTGGTAGCGGTGACAACCCTCCTGTTTTTTGGGTCATGGTATATTCTGTGTTTTCAGGGAAGTTCGCGAACTTGTCGAAGACAAGTTGGGCTCACAAGCACTAGCAAAGGAGAGCAATCTGAGCGAGTGTCATCAAAGGGCGGTGGGAAGCAGTGCGTGAGCGTATAACTACACCAAGTAAAGCCAGTCAACACAGGTTTGGTTCTCAGGAGTTGGTACCTCCCGTTCTACGATTTCCCTTTTGGTGTTTAGCTAAATTGTTGTCCCTTTAGTTCACAATAGTTCAATCATTCTACAAGTGTACTTGTAGTGACTTGTTTCCTTCTAGTTTGATTCGTTGGCCGTTGGGCACTAGTGAGCCCTCTTTAGATTGGCAGTAGGGGTAAGTGGCTGCAGTCTGGTATGGTAGATTAAGGGCATGTCCTCGTGTGGGGCAGAGTGTGGGGCCAGGGTCAGGGTGTGGGACGGGAGGCAGGGAAGGTAGAAGGGGCAAGAGAGCCTATAGGTTGAGAATTGGGTCATGGAACATAGGTTCGCTGACGAGTAAGTCCATAGGGTTGGCAAAGATCCTCCAGAAGAGGAAGATTAATATAGCGTGTGTCCAGGAGACTAGATGGGTTAGATCGAGGGCAAGAAACGCTGATGGGTATAAGTTGTGGTACTCTGGAGTCCACAGGGGTAAGAATGAAGTGGGTATCCTAGTTGATAGCCATCTTAGAGAGTCGGTGGTTGAGGTCAGGAGGGTGAATGATAGACTAATGACTATTAAATTGGTGGTGGGTGAGTGTACTTTAAATGTCGTTAGCGCGTACGCGCCGCAAGTTGGCTTGGATGAGGAGATTAAAATGCACTTTTGGGAGGGGTTGGATGACATCGTTCGTAGCATTCCACCTTCCGAGAGGTTATTCATAGGAGGAAATTTCAATGGTCATATTGGGTCGTCCGTAGGTGGTTATACTGAGGTGCATGGCGGCTTTGGTTTTGGGGAACGGAACGGAGGGGGCACTTCGCTGCTGGACTTTGCCAAGGCATTCGATCTAGTGATTGCAAACTCAAGTTTTTTGAAGCGGGAGGAGCATTTGGTTACTTACCAAAGTTTGGCGGTGAAGACTCAGATTGACTATCTCCTCATCCGGAGATGCGACAAAAGGTGGTGCGAGGATTGCAAAGTTATCCCAGGTGAGACCCTTGCAACGCAATATAGGCTTTTGGTGATGGACACTGGTATTACGATAAAGAGGAAGAAGAGGTCAGTACGAGGCCGCCCGAGGATTAGGTGGGGCGCCTTGACTAAGGATAAAGCTCAGGAGTTGGCAGGAAGGTTATCGGCAATGGGAGCTTGGAGAAGTAGTGGGGACGCAAACACTATGTGGTCGACGACGACAGATAACATAAGGAAGGCGGCGACAGAGGTGTTAGGTATATCTTCTGGATGCACCGGTGGCCACAAAGGAGTCTAGTGGTGGAATGCCGGTGTCCAAGGTAAAGTGGAAGCGAAGAAGGCGGCTTACCTGCGACTAGTAGGGAGCACTGGCGAGGAGGAGAAGACAGCGAATAGAGAGAGATATATGGTTGCTAGGAAGAAGGCGAAGATGGCAGTAACGGAGGCTAAGGCAACAACTTTTGCTCGTCTGTATGAGGAAATAGGGAACAAAGGCGGGGAGAAGAAGTTATTCTGACTCGCTAAGGTGAGAGAGAGGGCGTCTCGGGATCTGGACCAAGTGAGGTGCATAAAAGATGATGAAGACAAAGTTTTGACGGGGGAGGACCAGATTAAGAGGAGATGGCAGTCCTACTTTCTTAGACTTCTAAATGAAGAAGGGGATCAGGATATTACAATAGGTAAATTGAGGAATGCGGACAGCCCCCATGAATTAAGTTATTGTATGGACATTGAGGTCAATGAGGTCATGGAGGCAATGCGTAAGATGAGGAGGGGCAGAGCTATAGGGCAGACGAAATTCCGGTTGAACTTTGGAGAGGTGTGGATAGAGCAGACTTGGAATGGCTTACTGGGTTGTTTAATGTTATATTCAAGACTAATAGGATGCCTGAAGAGTGGAGGTGGAGTACAATGGTTCCGTTGTATAAGAACAAATGTGATATCCAGAGCTGTAACAACTATATGGGTATCAAATTACTGAGTCATACCATGAAAGTCTGGGAGAGAGTGGTTGAAATGAGAGTGCGAAGGACGGTGTCTATTTTAAACAACCAGTTCGGGTTCATGCCGGGGAGATCTACCACAGAAGCTATCCACCTTATTAGGAGGATGGTGGAACAATACAGGGATAAGAAGAAGGATCTTCACATGGTGTTTATCGATCTAGAGAAAGCGTACGACAGGGTACCTAGGAAGGTCTTATGGAGCTTCTTAGAGGCTAAAGGGGTCCCGGTTGCATACATTAGGGTGATTAAAGACATGTATGATGGAGCTAAGACTCGAGTTAGGATAGTAGGAGGCGACTCCGAGCATTTTCCGGTTGTTACTGGGTCGCACCAAGGGTCGGCGTTCAGCCCTTTCCTATTTGCCCTGGTGATGGATGCCATAACGCATAATATTCAAGGGGAGGTGACATGGTTCATGCTATTTGCTGATGACATAATCCTAATTGACGAGACCCGACGCGGCGTCAATGAGAGGCTAGAGGTTTGGAGACAGGCCCTTGAGTCTAAAGGGTTCAGATTGAGCAGGATGAAGACGAAATACCTCGAGTGCAAATTTGGGAACGAGGCGACGGACGAGGGAGTAGAAGTGAGGCTTGAATCTCAAGTCATACCTAAGAGGGGTAGTTTCAAGTATCTTGGGTCAGTTATTCAGGGGACCGGGGAGATCGACGAGGATGTCACACACCGTATAGGGGTGGGGTGGATGAAGTGGAAGTTAGTGACGGGAGTCCTGTGTGACAAGAAAGTGTCACCGTTACTAAAAGGTAAGTTTTATAGAGAAGTAGTTAGACCTGCCATGTTGTATAGTACCGAGTGTTGGCCGGTTAAGAACCTACACATCCAGAAGATGCAAGTAGCAGAGATGAGGATGTTGAGGTGGATGTGCGGGCATACAAGGATGGATAAGATTAGCAATGAAGATATTCGAGAGAGGGTGGGCGTGGCTCCAATAGAGGATAAGATGCGGGAAGCACGACTCAGATGGTTCGGGCACATCAGAGGAGGTGCAGTGATGCACCTGTGAGGAGGTGTGGGCGATCGGCGGTGGTGGGTACGAGGAGAGGTAGAGGGAGACCTAAGAAGTATTGGGGACAGGTGATCAAGCAAGACATGGCGCGACTTAGGATTACTGAGGACATGGCCCTAGACAGGGAATTGTGGAGGTCGAACATTAAGGTTGAAGGTTAGGGGGAAGTTATGAATATCTATACAGCGCACTAAAGTGAGACTAGCCCGTTAGGAGATAGACATAGGATACTACTGGTTAGCTACTGATGCAGGGCTTTATACTCTGGATATTAGTTTACCTTTCATCTCTCTCGTATTTCCTATATTCTCTTATATGGCTGTTATTTTGCTATTTTAATTTCTTTTATGTATGTTATGTATTTATGTTATTATATTATGAGTCTATCAATAGTACTAATATATCGTCACTTGGTGCTTTCTTGAGCTGAGGGTCTCCTGGAAACAGCCTCCCTGCCCCTCGGGGTAGGGGTAAGGTCTGCGTACATACTACCCTCCCCAGACCTCACTTGTGGTATTATACTAGGATGTTGTTGTTGTTGTTGTTGTTGTTGTTCCGGTTCGATAGTGAGATTTTGATCCGAGTGTCGGAATGGAATTCCGGAAGTGGGAGTAGCTCCGTAGTGTTTAATGTGACGTGTGTGCAAAATTTCAGGTCATTCGGACGAGGTTGATAGACTTTTTGATTGAAAGGGTATTTTTAGAGTTTTTGGAATTCTTAGGCTTGAATCCAATGAAAAAATAGGAATTTGGGTAGAGTTAGGGCTTTTTGAATAATTGAAATTTAGACCTCATTTTGGGGTCGGATTTTGAAACTAGTTGCATATTTGGGATCGTGGGTGAATGGGTGATCGGGTTTTGGTTCGAACCTCGAGTTTTGACCAAGTGGGCCCGGGGTCGATTTTTGACTTTTTGGGGAAAATGGTAGAAAATCTATAATTTAGCATTGGGTATGAATTACTTAGCATTTATTGATGTTGTTAAATTAATTTGGACTGGATACAAGTAATTTGGAGGCGAATTCTAAAGGAAAAGCGGTGTTTGAGGCTTGAGTTGGCCGTGGAAATTCGAGGTAAGTGTTTGGCCTAACCTTAGCTTGAGGGAATAGGTATCGTGCTTTATTTGCTATGTGTTAGTGTAGTGTATGACATATAGGTGTGGTGACAAGTATCTATACGTCGTTGTCAAGCATGCATGTGAGTCTTAAATTGAAATCGTTTTGTTCTTAATAAGTACTACAAAAGCCTAAGTTGTTGATTCTCGGTGTTGGGTAAGAATTATGATTATTCTCGGGGTATTTGTTTATGGTTAAGTATAAATTGGTGTTTTGATGTTGTTTTGAGCATTCCGAAGGTTGGAACAAGTTTGAATGAAGTTATGGGATATGTTGGTAGGTTTGGTTGAGGTCCCGGGGGTCTCGGGTGTGTTTTGGATACTCAACGGGTCATTTTGAAACTTGTTGGAATTGCTGAACTATTGGTATTTGGTTTCCTTATATGGGATCGCAATAGTGCGGCTGCGATCGCATAGGGTTGTTGGGGAGGCGGCAGAATTTGTTCTATGTGATAGCTAGGATTGGCCCGCGATCCGAAGTGTGAGGAGTCAAAGCAGTGCGGTCGCGTGAGGCTGCATGCGAATGCATAGTGTGGACGCGTGTGGCAGGGGGGTTGAGTGTTTACTCTATGTGAATGTGGTTGGGTGTACGCGATTGCGTAGAGGGAAGAGAGCCAGTTCTATGCAAACGCGTGTGATGGACCGCGCTTTCAGTGAAGGATTTTATTAAAATGTCGGGGAGTGTTTTAAAAGCCCAATCTGCGACCCTTCTTCATTTTTCCACCATTTTTGAATGGGATTGAAGCTTTTGGGGAAAATTTTTTAGGAAACCAAAGGGGAACCACTTGAAGCTTTTGAATTTCTTTGTGGAATCAGTTACTTGAAGTGTTATTTACATTATGCAATTTAATTGAATAGATTTGGGTCATTTGGAGTCGAGTACTCGTGGCAAGAACGTGGTTTCGGGTTGATTTTGAGCCGGTTCGAGGTAAGTGGCTTGCCTAACTGTGTGTATGGGACCTTCCCCTTAGGATTTGGTATTATTGTTAATTGAAATGTCTTGTACGTGAGGTGACGAGTGCGTACTTGTGCTAATTATTGAAAAATCCGGTTTTCATTAAGTAATTACTAGTATGTTTCCTTTCCTGTTTATATTACTTGCACTTTAAGCCTATTGTTAGCTTAGGAAAGCATCTCTAAGTTCTTTTAATTGCTTTATTTGATCAAACTATTTTATCTAGATTCTGTGCAGCATGCTAGGCAGGAATTACTTGTCTGCCTTAATGACATTTGCTGAATATTTTTTTCCTATTGTTGTTGTGTATTTACATTTGGGACTACAGATGTGGGATTCCGGTAGCTCCCCCTTGTCTGTTTATTTGGGACTATGGATGTGGTATTTCGGTATATACCCCTGCACAGTTATATGGAACTACGGGACTTTACCAGGTGCATTCCCCCGGTACTGGGTATTTATAATTGGGACTACGGATCAGGATTTTGGTAGATCCCCGCGCACTGATAGTTGGACTACGAGACGGGATCTCGGGAGATCCTTTGGATATATGTGATTGACTATGGGACGGTATCCTGGGAGATCCACTGAATAGTTGTAACTGGGACTACAGGATTGTATCCTAGAAGGTGCCCCGGTTGTTATCTCTGTGTTGAGCTGTATTTCTTTCCCGTGATTTATTTTTTCTCTCTTCTAGTTGTTATTGTTCTTTCAATTCTATGTTATTTCTTATTGTTGCACTTATTTATACCATTTTATTCCACACTGTTAACCCTTATATTTTAATTAACCACAGTAGGGCCCTGACCTTCCTCATCACTATCCGACTGAGGTTAGGTTTGGCACTTACTGAGTACTATTGTGGTGTACTCATGCCCTTTCTGTGCATGTTTTTCATGTGCAGATCCAGGTACTTCGACTTAGTCCTATCACCCTTGAGGCGAGGTGACTATTCCAGACACTTCGAGGTATTTCTGCCCCGTCCGCAGACCAAGCGGCATTTTTAATATTGTTTCATTCTGTTATTTTGGCATTTAAATATTTGATACACACAAGTTTTGTTTATTTTCTGCATTGTTAGGCTTACCTAATCGTAGAGACTAGGTGCCGTCACGACAGCTCACGGAGGGCGAACTGGGGTCGTGACACATAGCCAAATTGATAAGAAGGTTGCTATATATGTTTCATCTTTCTTGTTAGACGTTACCCTAAGCTTAAAGAATATAGCTTTTTGATCACTCGACCACCTAGTTGTCTCGAGAATAACTCCGTTAGGATTATGTGTCGACATTAGGCACGCGAATTTCTTTTCCTTTCGCAGTGGGGCAGGTTTATATATTAAAGCTTTTTTATACCAAAAATTTATCCAC